GTTTAGAGAACCTGAATCTCGTCCGACAATGGCATAGCCACTCCCGCTGAATATGCAGGAACAACACGTTGATAACAACAGTAAGAATCTCGAGATAATGCGAATTTAAATTATTATAATCACAGATAACGTCGAGATCCTATAATTGATATCGATTAGAGATCGTTTAGAGATGATTTAGAGAATCTCGAGATTATCCTGCTTTCGAAATCGATTATTTTAATCTAATTATCAGATTGTAAAATCAAATTATAGCTACTCACGTTGTCGATAATCGAGTCCGTTTAGTCCTTTACAATATTATTAAAAGAAAACCGTACATATTCTGTTCTAATCTACATTGCATGGTTTTTTGATGTGGTTCTAGCGGTTTGGGACGTGTTGGAAACTTCGACACACCGAGTGCTTGACGGCACAGACTGGGATGTGCTGTTCCAGAACTGTGATCTCTTCCCCAGGGTTAACTCCTTTAGTATACCTCCGGGAGTTGAAGGCATGTACCGAGTTGACTGCATCGGTTACGCAGACAATAACCAATGGCGTCAAACCAGCTCGAGGAAGGTCCTGAGAAATGCTGATGGTCTGGTGGAGTTTAATGTACGCAACGGGTATGGTGTCTTTGAAGCTGATGGCTGGTTTTTAAGGAGGCAGGTTGTGAGAATGGAAGAAGACTTTCCAAGAGTCACGTTCGTTCACTACTGGTATGAACAAAATCAAGGTAACTACCTCAGTCTCTTCTTTATGCATATACAATTTCTTAATATCTTGTGGAACTAAAATCTATACCAAAATGCTGCAGCAGCAGCTCAAGCCGCAGCAGAAGACTAAATGGCGTTACCAGTCGAATTTCACTTGAACTATTGACTTCCTTTCTTTTCTATTCAGTAACATAAGACTGGGAAGGAAGCCAGAAAGTGATTACCTTATACGGGAATCAAAATCCTTCCACATATCGGATAATGCTTTTAAGAACTGCATGTTGTCTCTTTCCTGCAATATATTAAACACTCCTCAGTTACATATATTTCCCACTATCTAGTAAGTGATATCTGCCTGAAATGATGATTGGAAGTGTATAGACTAATACAAGTATATGATCAAGATGCATAAGGGTTCATATCAGGACAAAAGTTCCCGACATGCGCCTACATTTTGATAAAGATGCTAACCTGCAGGACAGAAGTTCCCGACATGCGCCTACATTTACATGTGGCTCCGGCGACAAAGATGCTAGCTAACATGCAGAAGGGTTCATATCAGGACAGAAGTTCCCGACATGCGCCTACATTTTACAGGTGGCTCTGGCGATAAATTTAGTCTGCTGTACCAACTCCAAATTGATTTTTTTTTACCTTCTTCTTCCCCATGAGAGCCTGACAGTGTTCTTGCCAATGGCTGTCCCCGTTCAAACTCTAACTGGCATCTTCAGCACCCTTCCTGTCAAAGGTCGCTTTGAAATTACCCGCTTTCACTATTAAATAAGCACCCTACGGTTGGCTCAATCATATAATTGGCAAGCCCACACTTCAAGGTAAAGACCGCACCTGTTAGCGAATTGGACAAATCCACATCCTTCGCCTACTGGAATCTTCATTGGAACAACCTCGCCAAACTGGGAAAAAAGGTTGTCTGAGGGCTTCGTCAGTAACATCACGCCTACGAATACCTGCAGTAGAATAGACTAAAATAAGCAGAGCCAAGCAATACAGGGTTCGAATAATGCTAGCAGATGAATGGATATGACAACTCACTATTGAGTTATTTGATTCGCCATCAGACTGCGAGCCAATCTCAGAGCTTGCTCCATGAGACAAACTAGCTGCAGTCACTAACCATTTGCTCCATGTCCACCAGCCAATCTCAGAGCTACTTCGATGAAAGCATGAAAACTTTATGCTTCAAATGCTTTGCTGAGTGTGCATCAAGATCTATTAAGTCGTTGAATTTCAAGCCATATGGATAAAAATTGGCTTGCCATTCACTTAAAATTTGTAAACTCAATAGAAAAGAGTAAAACTAGTTGCAGTCACTAACCAGACAGAAAACACGCAGAGAAGTTTGAAAAGTATCCAAATTGCAAGAAGCATTATATATCAAGAAGATATGTTACCTTGGGAAGAATGTTGTTGCCGAGATTAGCCACCGCCCTTTTTGGGGCTCCGATATTTACGCGCAAAGGGGTCTAGTTCATCGAAACTTGCAATTGATGCTGCGTTTAGCCGTGTCCAAATCCTTAGCTGGCTGAGTGGTGACATTAGAAGATTGTCTCGGTGGCCACTCTATGTCAACTGCAGGGCATGTTGTTGGTACTAAACATATTCCCCAGGGAGGATAGACAAAACACAGATGTTTAGAAAAATAACAGCAAGCGGTTGTACGGGAATAATGACTAGGAAACAGGGATGGGATCACTTGGAGGTATACCTGAGAATATCCTCAACAAAATATCATATATTTGGCAAACTGTTGGACATTCAATTGCTGGGCAGTGAGAAACGGTGTAATCAGGGGAAGCACACGTGTTCTTAAGCGAATTCAACTCCATACTAGAGAGAAATTATGGACAAGGCATTATGAGAGACGTAGTCATGGTATAAGCTACCACATATATAAAAACGGGGAACGCTAAGATGTTCGAACTTAAGAAAAAATTGAGAAAAAGTAAGCTGTGTTTTCTAACTACCTCCTAGAGAATTGCATTTGCAACTGCAACAGTAGACATAAAAGTAGGTGCAGAACTATCAACAGCGTTGAATTTTTTGCAGAATTTCAGTAACAAAGTGTTTATCAACTGATTGAACCAGCTCTGCTAAGCAAAGCAGAGCATTTACTCTGACCTGACCTGCACCACAGTAATGATTTAAAAGAAATCCTTGTCAAAGGTCAATGCTAATCAACTTTCAAGATTTCTACAAATGACAGGCTGGTAAATAGCCGGTATGCAATCACCATTTGTAGAACTAAAAATAGCAGATCTACGCAAATGTGCATCTGAGATGTCATATGACACAAGTAATAAGAAAAAAAAATTTAATCTAGAAACTGCTGCTGGTATCTGTAAATCTCAGACAAAATACAAGGAAAGAAACGCATGGACCTGATTGACCCAATTTAAACGCCCAAGATTAGAAAAAGCACCTGAGACTCTGCTATAGTTGGAACCATGAGAATCACTGCCTGGATACCCAAATTCCTAAGTTCAGCACAAAGAGTCAGAAACACCTGCCGAGAAAACCTGGTTTCATTAGGTGTTACAAGGCAAATCACTTGAACTATTGACTTTCTTCTCTATTAAGTAACAGAAGACGAGAAAGAAGCCAGAAAGCGACTTCCTTATATACCGCAATACACGGGAATCAAAATCCTTCCACATATCGGATAATGCTTTTAAGAACTCAGACTTCTGCATGTAGTCTCTTTCCTACAATAAATTAAGAGAAAAAAATGCTCAATTATATATATTTCCCACAATCCAGGTGATCTATGCCTGAAATGATGATTGGAAGTGTATAGACTAATACAAGCATATGATCAAGAAAACGGAGGTCGTGTAACCTGGTGTTGCTACGGAACAAAATAGATCCTGCAGGTAAAAGTTGAAGTCCAAAATGTTAGTGCACAAGCAAATGAGGTAAGGCTTGTGACAAGAAACAATGAAACCTCATCAAGATTCAGTATTCCTACCTGAAAGTTTGTAAACTTGAAAGAAAAAGAGTAAAGTATCCAATTTGCATTATAGATCAAGGAGATATGTTACCTAGGGAAGAATGTTGTTGCGGATTAGGAATTGCCCTTTTGGGGGCAGGATTAATTACGCGCATTAGACTGTTCAAACAGAAAGCTCCAATCATTCCTATCAAAGCCTTTGATCTCTCGTTTTCATCACCAACCCCAACAAAACCATAACCTGTGGACCGGCCTGTATTGGAATCGATCACAACTTTTGACGGATGGATACCTCTCAACAAACAAGTCTTGCAATAAAGTGTCAGTCACACATGTGGAGACAAATCACCCAACAAAGACGTCGATATCTCAAGACCAATTTTTTTCACCAGTACTGAAAGACAGCCCAATTGAGACGGAAGGGCTGGTCCGAGTTTGGCCTCACTGAACCACTATAGCTCCACATGAGGCAAAGATTGCAACTTTACAACAAACGAGTGGTGTTTAGAGAGACAAACGACTTGTGCTTAGACCTGCAACACATCTCACAACCTCGTATGGAGATTTGTTCCTGAAGAGGCGTATGGAGATTAGAGGGAGAGAGGCTTGGAGGAATTAGAAAGAGGCAAAGATTACAACTTTACAATCAAGTGGTGTTTAGAGATGCTTACATTTGAATCTCATAGGATCTGAACAGGACGCATGGAGATTAAGGACGAGAGAGAGAGAGAGGATTGGAGGATTCAGAAAGAGACAAAGATTGCAACTTTACAACACACGAGTGGTGTTTAGAGAGACAAACGAGTTGTGCTTAGATTTACAACACATCTCACAACCTCGTATGGAGATCTGTTCCTGAAGATGCGTTTGGAGATT